TTTATTTCTCTACTTGTTTTCTTCTTCGTCTACTTTTTTTTTTCGCTTTATTAAATCTACATAAATAAATGTTAGTTTTTCTTTAAAAAAAAGAAAAACAGATCAACTTTTAAACAATTAGTTGTAGCAACAACAAATTTTAATAACAAACAAATGAAAAACAAAGGCTAAAAAGTGGATCAAATTTGTAAATTAATCTTACAAAAGTTATGCAAGTAATTAGAAGAAAAAACTGTTAATGTTTGTCGGTTATTCTGCATATATTTTTTTCCGCAATCACTTTTTTCTTACTATTGTTTTTGACTCGCAAAAAAACCAAAATAAGTTTCTTCTTTGGTTGGTTGTTTGCTAAGCGATTAAAAGGTTTGCAAGAAAGGTTTGAGATGTTTTTGTCTATTGTTACAATTGCCAATGCTGTTGATGTTGTTACATGAAAAAAATATATAGTAAAAAAAAACTAGAAAAATTTTTGATAAAAAAAAAAGGTAATTTATTGTTTGATTTTTTTTTTTAATTTAATATTTTTATAGGTGTTATCGGCGGTTCCAAACCAAAAGTAGCGACACCCAAAGTGGTGCAAACAATTGCTGCATATAAAAAAGCAAATCCGACAATGTTCGCTTGGGAAATTCGTGAAAAGCTTCTCGAGGTTACTGCCGTAATATTTCAAAAACAAAAAGAAGAAGAAGAAAAAAAAATAAGAACAAAAAGACAAAAAAAGCAGCAATAATTATTTATTTATTGTTTTGTTTTTTTTTTTCTTTCACTTTTTACTTTCTTTTCTCTTACATCTTTTTCTTTTTTTCTCATTAATACAATCGTTCAGAGGTATTGAACCGTTTCGGTTTGGTAACAAACAGTAAACGTAATTCCTTGCTTTTTTTTTTTTGACTATTAATAATCAGTGTTGAAAAAAAGTAGGCAATAGCCGTTAGACAAAAAAAAAATCATAAAAAAAGGATGTATATTCAATTAACAATTTTGTTGGCAAAAAAAAAAAAGTGGAAAAAAATATAAATTTATTTCAAACATATTGTTGCAACGAGGTAACATAAAAAAAGTTTATATATATATATTTATGTTTATAGAATATGCTGAATATTTCAATCATTTAAACAATTCTGTAGACGGATAGATGAATTGTTTTTCAAATTCTGTGTCGAATGAATAGTTCAAGGTTTTTTTTTTTTTCTGCATATGGCAGTATCGTAGAATAAACAGAATTAATAAAACACCAGAAAAAAAAAGAAGGATTATGGGTGTATGCAAAAACTTTTATGCTTTTTTTTTTCTTGTTTTGGTTAAGTTCACGGGCTAATATCAGTGATCAGACTTGGAGAAGAAACTTCATACTAATGTATATCTGTAGGTATCTTATGCCAAACTAATCAAAAATATTCTTATGCTTATCCAACAACAAGGGTATCCAACCGAAAAATAATTATTTAAAACTTTCTTTTGTTGAAATGTAATGCCAAAAACTGATTTGTAAAAAATTTTTGGTAAACAGACAAAATAAAGCAACTGAAAATTTATCTTACAGATGAGATTACTAAGCAAAAGTACTGTTAAAATACATTAAAATCTTGTTTTGATAAATTCTTGTTTTTCGATCTTTTATTTTTTTTTTT